ACTGGTGGCACCACTCCCTGCTGTGCCGAACAGGCCACATCCGTCTGTCACTCACTTGCTACCCGCCTGGGCCTGGGGGCTTGTGAGTGTGTGAGCCTGGGTCCCTGGGGGACAGATGAAGAAGCTGAGCCCCCTGGGGCCTCGAAGGACGGGCTGCGAGTAGAATGCACACTGAGGGCTCCCAGCGGGCGCGCCTCTCCCCCGCGGGGCTCCCTGCCCAGGCCCTGAGGGACTTTCTGACTCTCTATCTCAGGGAGGTGTGGCCCTGTGCGTGGGACAGCCTTGGCACTGTGTCATTTGACTTATGTTCATGTTGGGGATGTTGGCCACTTCTTCCTTCCTCTGGTACCTGAACCCCAAGTTTCCTTTGGGTAAATACCCCCAATAATGACATGGTGTAGATAGGGCGTGACCGGCAGACTCCTGCGCTGGTGGGTGGATCAGGGCTGAGACTTTTGCAGAGCAGCTCCTCCCGCCGAGACTCCTGCGGCCAGAGGCCTGGACGGTGAGAGGGACTGAGCCTGCTGAGGGCCGTCCCGCCGCTTCCGGGAAGAGCTGCCTGAGATCCGAGGCCGCACCAGGGAAAGAGGAACAGAGCGATGGAGAGAGCAGATCCCCAAGGACACCATTGGAGCACCCTGATGCAGCTGTGCCTGCAACCCCAAAGTTTTCAGGGTTACAACTTAAGAAATGGTGGCCCTCTCTCTCTTCCTGAACTGGACTGAGTTGGGCGTCTGTCACTTGCATGGAGTGGCTCCATCCTACGTCGAGAAAACGCTGTTCCTCCAAGAACATCTGCTGAGCTCTTATCCCAGGCCGTGCGTCGCATACACCGTCTCCTTTAGCCCTCACAGCAGTGCTGGGAGGGTAGGGAGCTCTGATTCTAGTTTATGGAGGACAGGGTGAGGGTGGTTAGGGAGGTGATGTACCCCAGGACACTCAGCCTGTCGGTGGATGGCCTGGGCTTTCAGCCTCAAGTCGAAGGCTAGTTCCTACATCACAGCCCCCGGTGCATCATGGGGAGTGTTTTCAGTTTTCCAAAGAGTGCAAGCTTGCCTTCTGCCTCCCCTCCATGGTAAAAAGCGCTCCAGGATAATTGTGGAAAAGTGGAATCTATAAAAAAGTGTATCAAAAACCCCACTCACAACTACCATTTGAACACACGTGCAAAGCTGCAACATATGAAGTTTATGTGAAAGGCGTGAAGCACACCCAGGATGTACAATTTGCTGTTCTGTGTTCATCAGTTAAAATGATGTCACCAGAATGAGTTGTCCCCTGAGTTGAGGGAAGAGGCAGCTCGCGGCGGCTTTGGGGTGCCCTAGGGCTGCCCTCCACCGGCTGCTTCAGAGCCGCGCGCGGCCCCTCTGCCACTGGGGCGGCCCTCCCCTCCCTGGGCCTGGCAGGCCTGCTGGACGCTGCTGGACGCTGCTGGAGGGCAGGGGTCCCTGGACTGTGCCCAGCAGCTGCCCGAACCTACAAGAGACCACGTGTGGTGAAGGGACGGCCTCTGTGTCTGTTTCCAACGACCGTAAGGCGGGTTGTAGTGGAATCAGCGCCCATGTGAGTCCGTGGGGAGGTGGGGCGGTCGTGCCGGGAGCACTGGTTTGGCTGTTGGTGTGACATCCAGATGGTCTCCCTCTGCCCCGGATAAAAAGCGCGCCGTGCCCGCCATGACCAGCAGGTGGCGCCATGGAATAGGAAACGAATCAGCGCGGCTCTGGAAGAAATCAGGGCGGAGCAGGGATGAGACTTAGAGGAGGGAGGAGAGCCAGCGAGAACATAGGGCTGAACACGAGGGCGCAGCACGCAGGGCCAGGAGGGGAGGCGAGATCCCAGGCAGAAGGGGACACACTGGGGAAGAGAGACAGCAGGAGCCGGTCAATATGCTGTCATTAAGGCCCAGCGTGAGAGTCAGCGTGATGCAGAGGGCCTTCTGGGTCCTGGGGTCATTGACCACAGGCAGAGGCAGGCTGGCTGGGCTCCTGCTCCCCGCGAGGCCTGCAGGTACCTGGGGCGCTCTGGGGCACCTGTGCCTCCTCTGCCCCGAGCCGGGACCCGGAGCCCCCTCCCTGCCACCCCCTTTGTGTCGTTAGCCGGGACCCGGAGCCCCCTCCCTGCCACCCCCTTTGTGTCGCTGCTGATCGACGGAGGGCAGGTGGTGGGGTAATCTTGTGAAGAAGGCGCCCAGGAGGCAAGAAAGCCGAAGGTAAAGGGGTGAAGAAGGCGCCCAGGAGGCAAGAAAGCTGAAAGATAAAGGGGCGGGAAGACCAAATCCGAGGTTGAGAGCTGCCTCTCTTGAATCTGTGGATGTAGAAATGTTTTGCTGAAGACCCCTTTTCATCCCCTGAACCTGATAATAACAGCAACAACATTGATTATAGCAGCCACCAGCACGCAGGGATTTTTTCATGTGCCAGGTGCTGAATTCATTTAGCATAGAAACTAGTGTTATCACCATTTTACAGATGGCAAAACTGAGGCCGGGGAAGGGGAAATGCATGCCCCAAGTTACACAGCTAATCAGAGCTGGAGCCAGGATTTGGAGCCAGCCAGGTGGCTCTGAAAGGCAGGTGCTGAGCTTGGCTGCACGGCCCCTCCCAGCGCGCGGTCCCTGCCACTCTGAGCAGGAATTCTGACTCGGAAAAGCCCAGTGATGGGCAGCCTGCTGCCAGGAGTGGTCCTGACAGGGAGGAGCTGGAGGTCTTAAGACTTGCTCCCCAGCCCCAGGCTGGGTGTCCTTGCTCTGTGGGGACCCCTGGTGGGCGAGTGGAGAGGAGCAGCCTTGCTTTTTTTTCTTTTTGACCCCTCCTCACGGGACTCCCCCCCCCCCCCCCCCCCAATCTGGGCCATGACTGCTGGTGTCACCCTGTCACCCTTTCCAGGAATGGGTGGGGTGGGGCGGGGTGGGATGGGGAGGGATTATTCTGATGTTTTTCTGAATTCAAAGAATGCAAAGAGACGTTTTCTCCAGAACAGTCTGGT